AGGCCCTGAGGCAGGAGAATACCTGGGAAGTTCGAGAAAAAGCAAGGGGTCCCTGTGCTGGGAACAGTGAGTCAAGAGGAGACCAGTAGAATATGAGGCCAGAAAGGGAAGAGAGAACAAACTTTGTTAGGCTTCGTAAGCCATTACAAAGACGTCTTTTTTTCACTTTGAGGGAAATCAAAGCCACTTGAGAGTTTTGTGCAGAGGAGTGACAGGATCTAACTTACAGTTAAGAGCATCGCTGTGGTTGCTATATTGAGAGTCGATTGTGAGCAGGCAAGTGTAAAAACAGAAGGACCTGCCAGGAAGCTATTGAAATAATTCAGGTGACAGATGATGGTGATTGGTGAGTAATTCAGGTGAAAAGTTGTGGTGGAAGTAATGAAAAGGGGGATGGGGTGATCTGTATATATCTTGAAAGTAGAGACTATAGGATTTGCTGATTGATTGGAGATAGTATATTAAAGAGAGAACCCAAAAATGTTTATAAGTCTTTTCAAGCCTGAACAACCAAAAGGAAAGAGTTGTAATCTACTGGTATAGGGAAGGTTTGTGGGAATAAAAGGGTAGAGGGGAGATGAGGAAAATCAGAAGCTAAATTTGGGGCAAGTTTATTTATAGAAGCCTAGTAGACATCCAAATGGTGATATGGAGTTGGCAGTTGGTTATACAATTTCAGGGAAGTGATCTGGATCAGAGATATGAATTGTGGACTTGTCAGTTTATAGATGATAATCTATGAGACTAAATGAGATTCCTGAAAGAGTGAATGTATATAGAAAAGAAAGAAATTTGAGGCAGCCTTAGGACACCTTTAACATATCAAGTTTGAGGAGGTAAGGGAAAATCAGCAAAGGAGATTGAGAGCATCAGTCAATAAAGTGGGAGACAAATCAGGAAATGTATTGTTCTGGAAGCCAGGTGAAGAAAGTGTTTAAAGGAAGAAGAACTGATTACCTATGTCAAATGCTGCCAATTAGGTCAAGTAAGATGAAGACTGAAAATTGACCATTGGTTTAGCAATGTGATCAATAGTTCTTCTCATTGGGGAGAAGAAGCAAATGATAAAACTGGACAACTAGACACTCTGCCTCATTTAAAATCCTCCTTACATAACCCTGGCTCCCAGTTTCCAGGAATTGAACTGATGTTGGAATTCTTTATTTTGTTTTATTATACGCCAGTAATCAATTCCTTATATCTGTGCCTTGTCTGATATCATGATGGTATTTTCAAGTCGATCTTTTAAAAAAATTGTGTGAGGAGATAAGTCAATATTATTATCATTGTTTCATAAGAAATACAGTTTCTAGAGAATATAAATGTTTCATTGTCACACTTCTGGTTAGTGCCAAAGTGGTGACTTCAGCTCAGGCCTATTGACACCTAGAACCTTACCCTCCTCCTTTAATTTCTACAAAAAGAGTGCCTGAAAAATCTTGTTTATTGGATCTTCCTTTATGCATTGCCCATTTTTATTTGTACCTTCTATTTATTCTTTCTTAATCCCTTGATTTTTGGTCCTTAGACTTTTTTGAACAGCTGTATGCCATGACCTTTAAGGACAAATATCAATATGACTTTAGAGCTTCAGGGAATTTGGACTTCTGCCAGGCTCTGAATCCAGAGAAAAGTTTCATATCCCCTCATGTGCATCCTTTCCTGCAGGATTTACTTCCTGCTAGCACAGAAGAAAGAGTGGGTAAATGACCAGCACTGTACCATTGAACATATATCTGCCCATTCTCTTGTTACAAAGATGAATATTATAGGGTCAAATATCCAAGGTACTCAGTAAGTCTTGTTAGTGTAATCTTATATATCATCGCAGTACACATCCTCTTTCTTCTTCCTCCTGATTCTTTCCAAGAGTCTTGCTTCCTTCCACCCTTATATTCAAACATAAGAAGTCCATAGAATCTTAGCAACATAAGAGATCATATTGTTATGAACAGCAGTCATCCATCTTCAGCTTGACTTCCCAGGGATGGTAACTCACTACCATAAATTCATGCGCATAAGCATGCAGTTGGACAAAGATATTGGATTAATCACGAATGATAAAGCATAAATTACAAAAATCACGGAGGTGGTTGATTGTATCAGTGTCAATTTCCTGGTTGTGATATTGTACATGAGTTAGGCAAGATGTTACCACTGGGGAAAACTGGGTAAAGAGTATATGAGACCTCTGTTTTACTTCTTAAAACTGCATGTGAATCTACAATTATCTCAAAATAAAAAGCTTAAAAAGTTATACAGATAAAAGGACATTCATGGGCAGACTTCTTTTTCCAAGACCACCAAACCATCACGATGCTGGAAGGGAATGCATTAGGGAAACCATTGTCTCAGGCAGAATCTACCATGCTGGCCTTGGAAGTGGTATGAGAAAGTCACAGAAGTAAACAGATAAATAGCAATCTGGGAAGAGAAAGGCAGTGATGAATATGAATTTTTATTTTAGCACCAACTGTAATACTGCGTTTGCAGTATTATTGTGACTATAAACTCCACCTCCCCTCAGCTACCATACTCCGAGTCAGCCATCTGCTACAGGATCATGCATTTTTTCCAGAACAATTGTTTAATCTATGTATCTGGTTGGTCATAGTTTCAGTTTTCAAAGCTAAACCAAACATCCTGCCCTTGTTTTCATTTCATCCCTTTTCTAGTCATCTGGCCTTCCCGTCCCTTCCCAGGAATTCTTAAGATCCTTGACTTCACTGACGGAAGTCAGGCTTCTGACCGCCTAATAAATAAGTTCACCAGTGCAAAGCCTATTTTTCATTCTGTTTAATTACAGGCTTCAGAGACACTCAAAATGGAGGGTGTCTTAGGGACAAATAATACCGTAGGCTTGGTTCACTTATCTCCTATTGGCCTTGGCACCAAGCCCTTCCTCTGCTTTGAAATTCACGGCTGTGTGTCTGTGGCTGCATACTAAACAGACCGAGGCCACCACACAGACTGCTTCGCTCGTCCAGATGCAGCTCAACTAATCCATACACCTTAATGGCCAATTCACAACAGTAGTTTAGATAATTAACACGGCTGGTTTGTTTCTAATGCAATCTATGTATGTGATCATAAATGAATTCATGTATTATCATTTGAATTGGATTTGGTGAACTATACTGGGGCTTGAACTACAACATGCTTGTTCTGAATTCTAGATGATTGGCTTCGAAACTGGCCTTTAGAAATGTATGTATAGGGCCGGCCCTGTGGCTTAGCGGTTAACTGCGCGCGTTCCGCTACTGACAGCCCAAGTTCAGATCCCGGGCGCGCCCCGAAGCACCGCTTCTCCGGCTGTGCTGAGGCCGCTTCCCACACACAGCAACTAGAAGAATGTGCAACTATGACGTGCAACTATCTACTGGGGCTTTGGGGGAAAAAAAAAAAGGAGGAGGATTGGCAATAGATGTTAGCTCAGAGCTGGTCTTCCTCAGCAAAAAGAAGAGGATTAGCATGGATGTTAGCTCAGGGATGATCTTCCTCACAAAAAAAAAAAAAAAAAAAGAAACGTATATATAAAATGATTAGATGACATATAGAGAATTTTTTAAAAATCAAAAATACAAGAAACTAACAGTAAAAAGTAAATTTCCCTCCTACTCTTGTTTCCTCAAACTCTCATTTCCCTTTTATAGAGACAATTACTGCCAATAGTTAATAGTTAACAGAAAGAAGGGACATTCTATGCATATATGAGTGTATATGTGTAGGGTTTATAGAGAGAGAAACATTATAGCTATATTTTCCTATTTATTGCATAAAAGGTAGCATGATGGACACAGTGTTCCACAATTTGTTCATTTTACTTAATGATCACTCTTAGAGGCCTTTCCGTACCAGCATCTGTGATCTGCCTCCACTTTTTAAAAAGCTGCCTAGTATTCTGTTGAGTGGATATAATCATTTTGTATTTAACCAGTCACATTTTGATGGATATTTGCTGTTTCCAATATTTTGTTATTACCAACAATGCATCGGTGAACATCATTGCATGTAATTATTTGTGCCATGTGTCATAGTATCTGTAGGATACATTCCTAGAAAAAGAATTCTTGGCCAAAGGGTATACTCAGTTTTCAGGTTGATGCATTTTGTGTAATTGTCTTCCAAAGAGGCTGTCGTTTTCCCAACCGTATATGTGAGGATTTGTCTCCCCATATCTGTCTCTCCTTACTATACTATTGATTTTTTTAACTTACCAATCTGATTATAATTGTAAGTTATATTTATCTAATTATGAATGTGGTTAAGCACCTTAAAAATCATTTGTTACATTCTTTCCACCTAACCACTCAGTTTTTCATCATTCTCTGAATAATATCTATTCCCCATTGGTTTAAAATGGCAGCTAAAATAAATCTCTATGTTTATTTTAATCTATTTCTGAACTTTCTATTCTGTTACATTTATCTTATTGTTTATGTGCATCAGTACCAATTTTTGTAAATTTTTATACTTTTATAATAAGTCTAAATATATAGTAGTTTGCTGCCTTTTTATTGTACTTTTTCAGAATTTCAGTAGATAATTTTACAAACTTATTTGTTGGCAGCTGTGTTGGAGTTATTTCATTAAAATAAACATTGAAATATACCCTGTTTAAAAATAGGGTGCAATCCCTATGAGACAGGGAAAGCTTTATGCCCAAGGTTGGGTTAGACCTGGGACTGAAAATGATGTGCAGGAAAAGAGCAAAGACGACCAACAAAGGAAAGAAAACTAAATAAAGGTTCCAAATATGAGATTCTATAAAAAACCCAGAAATACCCTGGAATAAAACATGCACTTGAATGTCATTAAGTTATTAAGCAGCCAGCTAGTTTTGCAGGTCAGCCTGTATAACACTTGCTTTCAAGGGCTTGACAAACAGTACCAAGGTTGTGACCTTAAACTGAAATTCCTTGGACTCTCAGTACCTGTGAGTCTGTACCCAACATTCCTACCCCTAGCTGCACTCTACCAGTCACCAGGAGCCAGCATTAATGAGTGCTCTGGTAGGAAGCACAATTTATAGAGAAGCTAACAGATTCTGAGAAAGAGCGAGGTAAACACAGACGGCAAACCACTCTCCTCGAGCAGCTTGTTTTTTAAATATGTCGAGACATTTTAGTTTCACTTCAGTGATCTCAAAAACAGGAACCTTGTGTTTGCCCCTATTCCAGGTAAGCATCTCTCTTTCTGGAAAATGATTTTCATAGGTACTCTAAGACCTGATTTGTTATAGATTTATTCTTTGGGTAACTTAATTACTCCTAGATTTAAAAAATTTCCTTTAAGAAAGTGTTACTAGCATCTTATGAGTTATATTTATTGGTTAAAGATACAGAAAAAAATGGTCCATAACATTAGTCTTATTTCTTCTTTATTTAGTTCTACTGCTATTGAAGTAATGCATGCAATTTAATCTTTGCTTAACTTGGCTATGCTGTCAAGTTTTTTTTGAATCAAAAATGCCATTGACATAGCAAAATGGTATGGCAGGATTAATTTAAGACATGTTTAGTGTTGTCTGCGAACATACTTGAGGCTTGATGGTTTTTCAATGCTGAACAATGTAGAAAGCACCATCTTAGAATTCATTTTGGTTCCTCTGTTCTAGCATCTCATTCTGACTAATACTTGCATCTCTGTATCTGTGTCACTCGAATGCAATGTATCTGAAAGATTTAGGTCTGAAATATATTAAGACGTCGCTCTCCATTTCATGATAACCCTGCAATCTGACAACTAACGCATTGACAGTGAGGTGGCAATAATGTAGTACTGTGTACTCCTCACTAGGATACAACGCAGGAGAAAACTAGGAAGTGACTTGAAGGTGAAATGACGGCTTTATTTGTTTACCTGTTAGGCTGGACCCCAAATGATTTCGTCTACTCATAAATAAACTTGTTTATGGACAAAATTTGAATGTTCATTTTTCTCTCAGTTAGTATGCAAATCCATTTGCAGCATTCTAGCAAAAGAGAGTGCAACTCATTTTCTGTGCTTATAAATTGTTCATTACCACACTCGCTGATGGCCAATTCATGACTCCATCTGCAACGCCACAAATCTCTTTGCCCAGATAAACTTGGTGGAGTAAATATAAGGTGCTGAAGAAGATGAGTTTGGGATTAAGGAAAAAAAGACGTATCTCACACAAAATTTACAAGTCTATCGTTTTAAATTTTGTGATTTCTTACTTGTGTTCAGATTTGTATGTCATGGTCCAGGAAAATAAATACTTCACTGACCTCATCAACCCAATTTTTAGGGCTACATGTAAACCACATTTAACGATTTTCTCATTGTACATGGAAGGAGTCTCAGTTCAAGGAAAAAACAAACATACAAACAAACAAATCAACTAGATAAGAGTATTTTCTTTTCTCCATGATATGAGTTATTGTAACCTATAAGGTTCAACACAGCGAACTAAGATAATTGTGTTAGAATGCTTATAGTTTCAGTCTTTCAAAACAAAGCAATCAAGGTTATTACTTTTTCTCTCTTTCTTGATAAAGAGAGAAATGTAAATCTCAACAGGGATGTCATGTGATCTTAAATCAACCTTAGCCTTAGAGCTGGTTAAAGTCACTCCTTCATGCATATATTTAACATCCATTAATGCTAATAGAATGGACTTCTGTTTTCATGTCAGGAACTTGATTCCTTTGCGTGAAAATAATACAAATAGTGAACGGTCTTCCTCTAGCTAAAATGTGAAAACAAAGAAAAAAGGCAAGGTGCGCAAAAGCTCTTTAGAGCAAGCAAAATCTGCCTATAGAAAAAACAAAAAGCGTTTCATATCCATCTATGGTGGTGTGTAGGATAGGAATCTGGCTCATAACATATATCTCCTCTAATTACTGAGATGCAGAATCTACCCAGAGATTTTTATTCAATTAAAATTCTGTGAACCAACAATAGACTCTGCTATGGAGCTTTTAATTAAAAAAACAAACGAAATGATATAAACCCACATTGTCTCTAGGCACTGTTTGTATTAAAGGATTAGACGGATGAGACGTTTGGATTTTATTGTTCTTAACATGTGTTTCAGTTGGTGCTCTCGGACATTCCATGTGAAGAAAATGAAATGTAAGTAAATTGCAAGAGGCTCCAAGTTTTTATTTAGCATTTTCAAAATTCAAAGGATAAAAAAGGCTCAAGTCATTTGAGAGGTCCCAAATGAGTTTCAAATGATCATTATAATCATGCAAGAAAAACAAAAGTAAATTGTTTTTAAATACAAATGGCTGAATTTTTCTAAAAGCAGAAAAGATGCACTTTCATTATGATCAGCTTTGTTAAATAAATAAGGGGCCTAGTTGATTTCTAGGTATTTTTGCTCACTGCATTCTTTTAGTGCATGAAAGAATCGTGATGTCATCTATGCTCGCATCCACACCCATGAGTCACAGTGATGATGGGAAGCAGTTTTCTGGATAATTCAGTTTCAAATATCAGCAAACTAACAAAAATTTTGACCTGTTTATGTGTATATTTCAGAGTGATTTTGATATAAATTAGGTGAATAATTGACTCAATTTTTTCACTTTTTGTGCTGTAGACTTAATGGTTCCCAGATTTCTACTGGGGAGATGGGGAGAAGGTGCCATTAATAAGGCTGCTGATGATTAATGATAATTGTAATGCAGTGTGACTTAATGCAAGTGTCAGAAAAACACTTCTGCCAAGCACTGTCTTCTCCTGGGTGCAGCCCTCACTGCCAGCTAGCTGTTTTTAATTATCATTGCCTATTACCTTCAAGGCCAGGGTCTCTGGGCACTGCCTTCAGATTAAGAGGCCATGCTAGGTGGCATGCTTTTCTTGGCCCTGGAATCATTCACCTGTTTCTGGTGGATCATCTCATTATTGATAATCTGCTTATTAACTCTGTGCTACTCTTTCAGCTTTGCAATGGCCCTCCATTGCTGTTCCTTTGAATTAATTTTGGACTTGTTTTTTTCTCTGTCTTCTGGTGTTTGTGACATAATGAAGTTTTTGATTATTGGTGGGCTTACCTAACTTTGGATCTGATGGCTCCCTCATCTTGCCCCTTCATCTTCTACCATTGACCCAGAATAATAGAATAAAGAGATTCATAATTGGGAAGGATCACAAAGGTTGAGTCTAACTCTCCAATCAACATGACAGAAAAATATGGTATTGAGGAACTTTATAAGCTGGCTTTAGAGTCACTGAGGCAACTGGTCTCCTTTTCAAGTGAAGCAATTGAGACTCAAAGAGAGATAGTAACAAATTAATTACAGGACTTCAACCAGTATTTAAGTAAGAATTTTTGTGGCTACATCATTTTGCATGTAAGTATCTGTTATGTTTATCTTTATTTAATACCATTGTTTTTGAATGAAAACAAGAAACCACCTCAAATAAAGTACAAATTAGCAGAAAATAAAGATAGAGAAGGGAAGAAAGTGGCTGATTTTGTAGGGAGGTGGTGTGAGGTAAGTAAATGTATTGGAGAGAGACACAATATCTCGTCTTCTGCCACCACAGCAAGGTGTTTGTGGGATCTATTATTAGTTCTATTTAAATTTGTTTTCAAATGCCAGACTATTTTTTTCTGATCTAACCTACTCAATTTATTTTGATAACAGCATTTTTAGTATGAACAATTCATTGCTATGCTGTCTTTGTATAAAATTTAAATACTATAAGTAATTTAGTATATGAAATAAAACATGACAGAGCCTCCTCATAATTACATCTTGAATCCTTTCTCTCTCCAGAAATAATCAAGTACACTGACATGCATGTATGTACATAAATAGGGTAATTTATAAAACATAAATATGATCATACATATATAGGATTTTGTAAATTAATCACATTAATATATTTCTAATGATATGATGTCATCTTACCGGGTTTGGGGAAGTTAAGTGTTTTGCTCAAGAGTAAGCAAGTAAAAGGCAGAGCTTGGATTTGGACCTAAGACTGACTCCTGAGCTCAGAATTTTAACTACAAAGCCATATTGTATATCCAATGTTTAAGTGAAATCACGTGGTGAAATACCTGATGGCTATATAGTCCATCCATTCTTCCAGGTATTATACAATTTACTCCAGAGTAATTACATCAGGCCACCAGTCTCTGGGTGATATGATTTGGGCCCATCTCTCCCTCAAATTATTGTAGCTGAATTGCACTTTGGCCTGTTAAGGAATGATAAAAAAAAGAAAAAGATCCATGAAATTTGTTACGGCCTTTATTCTTAGACTACAATGAAAAAAAGTTCCCATTGCTGACAGTGTCCTCTTTATAAAGCCCCACAGTTTGAATTTTTTCTGGTTTCTATACCAGGAGTAGTTGTGCAACTGGTGAGTGAGTAACACTGCGTATTTTTGTTAATTTTAGAGAACACTATACAACCAACTCTCTCTCTCATCCTACTGACTGCTAGAGAGCTTAAGCCAGATCTGGAATTCAGTTCCAATTTTATGTATGGGATTTACTACATTCAGTTTACAAACTGATCTCACTCTTGGCTTATTCTCTGTCTGATACTCTCCATGCTCTCATTTCTAAATTTTTTTTTTGTATTTTTAATAGTTCCTTAAAGCATTTTGGAACACAGGATATTGAATGCATTCAGGCAGTACTCCACACAGCAAACGGGGCTGGAGCTGGCCTCTACTATTCCCAGTTGCAGTGTTGCTTGGTGGTAAGAGCCACGGCCTCCACAGCCAGACCATTTGAGTTTAAAGCCTGCCCCTGCCACTTCCAGCTACGTTATCTTGGGCAAGTTACTTAACCTCTTTATGCCTGAATTTTCTCAGTTGAAAATGAGTATTATAATAGTGACCCTACCTTATAGCATTATAAGTGTGAAAGTGAGTTAATTCACGTGAAGTTATACAATTGGTTTAGAAGAATGCCTGGCACAGGAAATTTTGACTGATTCTAGAAGAGGAGCCAATGGAGCAACTCTGCAATTTTCTTCTTCTTCTTTTTTTTTTCCCTCAAAGCCCCAGTAGATAGTTGTATGTCATAGTTGCACATCCTTCTAGTTGCTGCATGTGGGACGAGGCCTCAGCATGGCCGGAGAAGCGGTGCGTCAGTGCACGCCCGGGATCCAAACCCGGGCCGCCAGTAGCGGAGCGCCCACACTTAACTGCTAAGCCACGAGGCCGGCCCTGCAATTTTCTTCTTGAATTTATCAAATTAATGAATTTGCAGTAAATCTTACGTCCACAGATTCTCAGCCCTGAGAAGAATAAAGATCAGCTAATCTAACCATCCCTGTAGAGCAGATCTCATCTCACATCCAAGTAAAGTAGGGCAATAGTTGTTCTGGTAGGTACAGAAATGATCTCCTTCAACCACAGCTTCTAGAGAACTCTGATTATTGGAAATGTTTTCCTTAGACATCATAGTTCTCACTTTTCCCTGATGTTTTTTCATTTCAGCATCATCATCCTAATTCGACCAACTATATATATCCATATCTCTGAGTAATAACTTGATTTTCAAAAATATAACTTTTCCTATGCTGAAGAGCTTGCATCTAAAATTTGAATAACTACAATATTGCTATAGTTCAGATACTGTTTTTTAAAGAATTAAAAAATTTCTGTTTCAAAATGGAACTTGAGAAAGACATAGAAATAATGGTAGAGGGAGGAAGAACATGGAGTCAGAAGGCCTGTGTTCTAGTTTAATTTCTTCAGCCAGCTAGTGACCTCCCCACTTCCCTTCTCACTCTGGGTCTCAGTTGTACAGTGTCTAAAATCCTAAGGATGAGGTAAATGATCCCAAAGTTGCCTGCAATTCTGAATTTGCAAGATCACTTTGCCTTTCTCCAGCTAACTGCTTGCTGGCCATTTTATTGTGTAGCAGAACCTCCACCAGTGGGTGCACAGTGTCAAAAAGAAAAAGCGAAATAAGTCAGTATGGATAATTGTTACAACTGCAAAAAATATTGAGGGGCTCAAAAAATAGCATTTAGAATTGACATTATAATAAGTATAAGTCTATTTTTAAATGTAAAGAATAGAAGCAGAGATTTATACATGGAGGGAGATGAAACACTCCTGGTCATGAGCTTAGATTTCAAGATTCAAAAACAGGAACCTTCTGCTCTTTCTCTGGACCAGGACACTTAGAGAATTTCCCTGCACCCATCTCTAAAGTGGGATGCTACATTTTTAAGATTTTTATATTTTCATATAATATTTAAAATTTTTAGGACTACAAAAGTGGTGTGTACATTATAAAAATTAAAACAATATAGAAATATTAAAAAGATAACGTTCCTCATACTGTCTTCAAGAGAAGTAAGCATTGTTAGTAGTTTGGTATATATGTATATATAACTATATAATGGCTATTTTGGTGAAATCATTGTATTTGTGTAAAAGAAAATATACAAGTAGAACTGAGCCTTCTATATCTTTTTACTTAATAAGTTTTTAATTATAAATAGACATCTACATCCTTTTTGATGACTGGATAATATTCCTTTGTAAGGAAGTACCATTAATTTTTTAAAAAATTATTTTATTGAGGTCATATTGGCTTATAAAATTGTGTAAATTTTAAGTGTACATTATTATATATCATTTTCAGTATAGATTACATCATGTTCACCACCAATAATCTAGTTTTTATCCGTCAACATACATATGTGCCACTTCATCCCTTTCACCCTCCCCCAACCCACTTCCCCTCTGGTAACCACTAATTTGTTCTCCTTACCTGTGTGTTTGTTTGTCTTCCACATATGAGTGAAATCATACAGTGTTTGTCTTTCTCTGTCTGGCTTATGTCACTTAGCATAATACCCTCAAAGTAGTTTTAAAATCCTTTATTGATGATCATTTGTCTTAGGATGCCTTTTTTTTTTTTGGCTTGAGGAAGATTAGCCCTGTGCTAACATCTATGCCAATCTTCCTCTATTTTGTATGTGGGTTGCTGCCATAGCGTGGTTGACAAGTACTATAGGTAAGTGCCCGGGATCCAAACCTGAGAACCCTGGCCACTGAAGTGGAGCACACAGAACTTGAACCACTAGGCCCCAGGCCTGGCCTCAGGGTGCTTTTTATTTTTTCATTTTATTTTATTTATTTATTTATTTATTTATTTATTTATTTATTTATTTATTTAGTGAGGAGATTAGCCCTGTGCTAACATCTGCCAATCTTCCTCTTTTTTTGCTGAGGAAGACTGGCCCTGGGCTAACACCCATGCCCATCTTCCTCCACTCTATATGGGACGCCGCCACAGCACGGCCTGACAAGCGGTGCGTTGGTGCGCGCCTGGGATCTGAACTAGCGAACCTCAGGCAGCTGCAGCGGAGCACGCGCACTTAACCACTTGCACCACCGGGCCAGCCCCTCAGGGTGCTTTTTAAAATCCTACTTCAACTGCCAGTTTTTCTTTTTTTTTTTTTTTTTTTTGGTGAGGAAGATTGACCCTGGACTAACATCTGTCCCCATCTTCCTCTCCTTTATGTGGGACACCGCCACAGCGTGGCTTGATCAGCTGTGCATAGGTCTGTGCCTGAGATCCAAACCCGCAAACCCCAGGCCACTGAAGCAGAGAGTGCGAACTTAACCATGCCACCGGGACAGCCCCCAGCTGCCATTTTTTCCTAGCCACTTATACCTCTATACTTTGCTAAACCCTCTACATGCACCAAAAAAAAAAAAAAAGAAACACACACACACACAAAAAAACCCCCAAAACTAGTTGTCTCAGTGATTGATTTTTGTCTTAAATTTTGGGGGTAAAATTTTAAAGTTGACACTTACATATGTTAAAAAGTCATTTCTGACTAGTACAATGATAAACATGACACACTGCCTCCTTAGAGATGCTGGGAGCAATAAATTAGCTGACATTTATGAATGCTTTCAAGCTGAAAAGTATTGAGTGTTATTTTAGCAACGGCTGAAGAAGACATGATTAAATATAGCTCCATCTCAGAAGCTTATCGGGCTGTGATGAACAGCTTTCCACTCTTTAATCCCAGAATACTTTAAAAGTGGCCCATATACCGAGGTCTAGAAAAAGTTCCTCAGCAAACATACATTCAGTGCACCATGTCTGGCATAATGAAGGACTCTGGAATGAATAGCACATAAGTGTCTACATCTGGGGAGCTAAACGTCCTGAAAATCACACTGTGAACTCTGTTTTTGTGTGATCTCTTAAAACTTATCTCACGAATGACTGAGTTGTGCCTGGACACACAAATGGTTTGACCATTCTGACTGAAGAGATCAACTTGTAACTCCTTGGCAAATGGTAGGTGTGGCCACACCCATTCATTTTCCTTTTATCCTACCTTCTTTGTCTAACCAGGGTGGCAAGCCTGCTATTCCCTACCAAGATATTAAACGTTAATAGAGATTATAAACCTTCCCTGGAGAATTTACATTTTAAAGAATTCAAGACCTCTGAATAAAGAGAAGGGGGGAATGGTTCTCTGCCTTGTACCTAATACCTATGAGACGTTAGCCCCGAAAAGTTCATCACTACTTTCTCAATGTACACCAGTATTTGTAACTCTAGAACTAAATCTATTACGGTGCAATTATCTGTTTATGTATCTGACAGTTTCACGTTTACCTATATTCTCAGTGCCTTGAATGAAGTGGACATACGGTGAATATTTGCTTTATTGTGTTGGGGGGGAGCAGTGCGCAGGTGAGTGTTGGGGAAACAGGTGTGGTCAGAACAAATATTATCATCCAAAAGAATGGGCTTTGGCCATCTAGGGGTCTAGCACTAACAAGTCTTCCTTTATCACCAGGTATGTAAACTATCAAGATCAATACCCAAATGGCTGGTATATCTGGTAAGGACATCCTCAATTTGTTTCAAAAAATATTTTGTGGTATGTACACACTCCTTTTCCTAAATAAATGGGAGCACATGAAATCATATAGCTTAAAAACATTTTAGGAGTAATGTGAATCAATATATGTAGAAACATCACTTTCAGGTTGTTGGCCAGTGTTTACTTAAACACTTCCTATTACAAGGAACTTACTATTTATAAGAATAATAGTTTATTCCCGAGTTGGAGATCTTTAAAGGTAAAATAATTGTGCTTTCTCTTGAAATCGCCTGAAATGACTCCTCTGCTGATTTTAGTTCTGGCCTTAAAGCCATTCAAATTACGACTGCTACCTCTTTTATGAGCTAGTCCTTCAGAATTTTAACAGACTTGTTATAACCTCCTAAATCCTAACTTCTGTGTTTTCCAAAGTAACATTTTCCAAACACTACCATTTTTTTCAGTTAGATGATTAGCTTCTCAAAGATACAGACCACATCTTGTCAACCTTTGAACGACTAACCGCAACATCTCAAATCTGTGTAGTTGCTTAAATACTAGTTGAATGAATGGATGGATGGCTGAACGAAGGGAATAATGGCTGAAGAATTAAGGAACAATGACTGCTTTTTAAATCAACTTTCCACTTTCCAAAGAGAAACGATTATGATCACCTGGCAAAATCGATGCACTCTGAGCTCAGTGAACATTCTAGGTTCAGTGAAAATGTACGAGTGGTGGTGGAGAGATGGCTTAAGGAACTCAGCCTCCCAGATTGCTTGCATCCCATCCCTCTGAGTTCTTGCCCCTCCTCCAGGAAGCAAGAGAAGCTCTTAACTTCCCTGCATGCTCCACCTCACCGTTCCTCTGCTTCTTCTGAAATCAGGCTCTCGCTGCTGATTTTCCTGGTGGCTCTTCTCTGTGGAGCAGTGTTTTTCTGCCTCCAGTGCTGGCTGAGGAGACCCCAGATGGGTTCCCCAAGACGCACCATGACTGTTTTTGCTGTTGGAGACTTGGACCCTGTCTATGGTAAGCTATCTGCACACTTTTGGACTTCCTCTTTGAAACCTCATGGTTTTGCGGTGAACTGAACAGCTAACCTCTGAAAAGCAAATCTGTGAACATACAACAAGACATGGTTTATTGGAGACTCAAAGGCATTCATTGGGGAGAGAATCTAAGCGAGAAATCTTCAGAAGAAGGAGACCTCGAAAGAAAAAAATGTGTCTGAGGGAAATGACTCATAGTTGAATATGGGAACAGAGCCTAAACATGTTGCTCAGTCAACAAGTAGAAGGGAAGAGACTTACAGGGCTGGTCACTCCAAGTGAGTGGTAGGGTTTAAGGTACAGAAGAGCATCTCTGTGTTTTTGATATCAGTCTATCCTACCCTGTATTCACAGTCTCATTTACTAAGCTCTCTGTGCCTCACTTGTCTGCAGTAACGTTGAACCACACTTTCCAGGTTGTTTGATGCCAATGCAGGGCCTGAAATACTTGGAATTGGGCAGGCAAGTGTCAACACTCAAGTCCCTTCTTCTCAGACACACTGGCAGCATCCTGATCCTTCCTGCTCCCAACTTCCACCCCCAAAACCATACTCTTCCTATTATTTTCCAGTCTACGTTACCAGGTAAGAAACGGAGGAAATAGAGGTCTTAGAGATACTTGTAATTGCCAGCCTTAGCTGTGAGCAGAAAAATGACCACTTACTGATTTCTGGGAGGTGACAATTGATAGTTTATTTCCTCATTGTTAAGCGTTGTCTGTTATGAGACTTTCCCCCTAAGGTACTGCATTGCACACCACAGTTGCCTCAAGAGTGCTTGGCAGAGATGAAGAGCTGCCCTGCAGAAACTTGGGCCGCCATAAGATTTTTGATAGATGGAGCAGGGCATGTCCTAGAAAAACTAACAGCTAAGTAAAAAGTGAGGTAAAAATAAACTAAAATCTTTTATTATCAAAACTCAGTACTCTAAGGTTCAGTGATTATATTCACTATTGGCTTTTTTTAAAGTCATTATTTAACAAGGAAAACGCATTGTCAGTTTGAGAAATGGTTATTTGGGGAAGGACAGTTAAAGCCTCCAATGAAAGCAGTACTTTCTCCTAAAATCAAAAACACTTTCCACTGAGTATGGACCTTATAACAAAGTATATTAGTCAAAGAGGTCAACATGGTCACATGTGTCTATTTTTCTTTCTTTAACTAGAAGTATTTAATAAATAAATGCAATTATGTTTCTTCCAACTTGACTTGAGTTTCTAAAGAGGAGGATCCACACTGATCTTCTTAGTCTTTCTCTCACTCTGAGGAAATCTCTTTTACCAGTCTACCTTGAATTTTAAAGATGTTCTGTTTTTAAGTAGGTAAGCTACCCAGTTATACTGTTATAATTTTTAAGGCAGTTTATGTGCCATGGTTATATTCCCATTTATCTGATATTTTTATATTTCCTGGATGGTGGTTTACAAACATGCTTTTGAATTTGCCTGAGCTTGCCTGAACAGGTATGTGTGAGAGAAGAGGTCAAGGCTGATACAGTACTTCAATAATCTGCATGTAATAGCACTGAGAGCAGGGCATTAGAATCACATTCTCTGTATTACCTTGTAGTTGTTATGGACAGGAAAAGACAATACTTGGGAAGAAATTGTTTTTCAAAAAAATAATATAGTCACAATTTATTTCACATCCACCAAGTTCTAGGCACTAGGTCAGGGGCTTCTCGAATATTGTCTCTAATTCCTAAATACCAACTCAGAAAAGGAGCTATTACTTCTCTTAGAGGATGTAATCTACATTCTCACTTTACTGGATAAATATATCACAGAGGTCTTTGTTGCAGGTCAGCTAATAGACTTCAAATTGTCCAGAATTGAGGATAGGGAGCCAATGAAAATTTGAACAGGACACCATAGCTCAGCCACCTTATCTCTGGACACTAAGCACAGTTTTATATCCCGAATCTCCAGATATTTCCATTGGGTGATTCCTCAATGGTAGGAATTTCTCTCCAAATCCTCATTCCCTTCCTCGTTCTATCCTTTCCTCTCTTATCCCATTGGTATTGCTCTGGATCTTATTTTGCTCAAGAAACATTCAAACTCTCCTCCAGCTATAAGTTGTATTATGAAGTTCACTTTGATTTGCATCTTAGAGGGCACAGCCTCAGTTACCCCTTCCCTTTTATATTTTCCCTTGTCTACACTGGTTAGGTATTAGATTATCCCATCCATCACCCATCTCCCATGCTGTCCCAGGCATGCTCAGGGTGGCTGGACAGGCAGTGAACAGGCATTCCCAAAGTCTTTGATGTGGATGTGGGCCCGAGCTGTGCTTCTTGACATTCCTCTTTCTCCTTTCTAAAACAAAATACAAAAGATTAATTTAGGAACTAGCAATTTTTGAAAGTAAATTCCAGGAGTCAATATTTTAAGGCAGTCAGAAACCCAGACCCACACTGGGTTTCCTTTCCCCACTGGATCCTCATTACACTTTCACTTCTCCAGACGCGTGATTCTTCCTACCTAAAATTTCCTTAAAAGGAGCTGCTCTCCCAAAGAGAAGTGAGGGAAACACTACAGGATAGGATGTTTTTATGGCTGTAGAGGGAGATATTGGCCCAAACCACAGCTCCTACCTCCACAGCCCCCACAAAGTTTGTACTTACAGCTTGGAGTTGAGTCCAGATACTGCCAGATTCATTTGCCCACACTGCAGATTATCAGGTTGCACTTCTGAGTCTTCCTCACATCCGCTGTTCAGAAAGGCAAGAGGAAAATGAGAGCTCACTTGAAAGACACCAGTGACATATTAGAATATGAAATAGAATTTCTGGACTCCCTACCACCCTTTGAGCACAAAGGGGAAGATAGGACTTTGCTTCCTGAATACAGAATGTAGGAAACGGTTCATTTAAAATATTTTAATGGAGACACTAGATTTGATATATTAACCTTGGGTTCCTCCTAGACCTTCATTTTATTTATTCAGAACTTATTTCACGTTATTACCACTATTTGTTGAATATATTAGTTGAAATAGCTCTGCTCTTCTGACCTATGGGTCAAAGATTTGACTCTCAGGATCTCCTGGAAGCTGCCCTCAACTGAGAAGAGCTGAGAGGAGAGTTTTGACTGATTATCGGAGCTAGAGTGACCTGAACTTTACTGATGTTAAAATATATAAAATAGGAAATTTCTCTCACTAGCAATTCCTAACAATGTTACATGGCTCAGGTTGCCAGTTATCTTGACTAGAAATATTAAAGAGAGAAAGAAAAATACCTGGCTTAGGATCCTTATAAAAGATATTTAAGGAAGGCCTTGCCAGCCCAGCCCATCCCCATGTGTGATGAGACTTCGGTCTAGGAAAGTTCCTTGGGCATCTCAGCCACACACCCAGGCCCCAAGAGCATCTCCTGGGCCAATAACCATGCCTTTTCACAGTTATCTGCTGATACGGCACTCAGATTTCTCAGTTTTCATTCCCTTTACATAGGATCTGCATTTCCAGATCTATAACATGTTATGATGAAGCTCTTTATGCACCAAAAAGGGAGAATTAATCCCCTTGATACCCCTGTGGAGGGTAAGGAAGAAGGGGAGATATTGTTACAGAATGAGGAAGAGGAGGAAGACCAGAAGAAAATCAGGAAGGTGGAGGAGAAGGGGAAGGATGAAGAGCGAGAGGAGAAGGAACTCACTATTTGAAGTTGGAGATAATTCAAGGACTGAAATTAAAATGTATTTATTTTATACAAGTCTTAAAATCATGTTATTTTGTTTTGCTTCAGACGCACCTCCTCTTCCTGTATCCAGCCCCAGGGTCTCCTAGATAGTCCCTTCTTCCATTATTATTCTGCCCCCATCCCCAACTCGTTTTCTGGACTCAGATTTCTTTACCATCCCTGCTATAACAGAAAGGACCCCGTTCAAAGCCCATGCGTCTTCTTGAATGAGATCATGCACAAAACAGTCTCTCAGACCTTCTCACTTTCTTCTTTCAACCATCAGAGCCTAACAATTCTAGCCTAATTCGGGTGGGTTTTTTTCAGCACCTGTGTTAGGGGTAAAAATGATTTCTTGTTTCAATGTTTTCTTATCTCACTATCTTATCTCTTTTAGTGATGCTTTTGGAAACCCTGCTATCTGATAATTCAATGGAAAACACTGGAGATTTGCAACCAGTATTTTCCCCTTAAATGTGTAAATAGAGAGTGAGAACACACACTGGGCCACAGAAAGTGATTTTTTTTTTTTAAAGGAATGTATGCAATTTTTTAGTAAAAGTGGGGAAAGATGAAGAGAAAATCATTAAAATTCTTTGTAATCATCTGTATCCCAAATCGGAATCAGTGCTCTCACTTTATAAGACCAAGAACTATAAGAGAGCACGAATAGGTAGAAAATACAAGTGATTTAAAAAGGAGGAAAAAGATGCACAGCAGTTCAGTGCACGCGCTCCGCTTAGGCAGCCCGGCGTTCGCCGGTTCGGATCCAGGGCGAGCAACGACGCACCACTTGTCAAGCCGTGCTGTGGCAGCGTTGCATATAAAGTAGAGGAAGATGGGCACGATGTTAGCCCAGGACCAATCCTCTTCAGCAAAAAAGAGGAGGATTGGCATTGGATGTTATCTCAGGGCTGGTCTTCCTCACAAAATAAAAAAAAAAAAAGAAGATGAAAAAGAAAAAGTTTTGAGTTTCTTAGGTTACTTGTTTTGTTTAGTTTTTAAATTTGTATTTGAAAAGATACGTAATGACAAAGGAGTTTTAAAATTTATTTTAAATAAAAGTTTTTTTAATTCACTGAAAATAAGTTTTCATTGAAAATAAGGTTGTGAAGCTGAGTAAAAGCCCTTGTTGATGAGGAAGTAAGACATTTAAAGATAAAAAAGAGAAAGACGTTGGGGGTCTGGGAGGTGAGACGAGGACAAAGGACTTGAGGCTGAAAAACAATCTAGTGTTCATTAGGAAAGAGAGAATTTGAAAGGATAAGAAGGGGATCCCCACCATTGTCTGTCCATATTTTTTAACAAAAAATAATAAATTTCATAAAATCTACATCTAATCCTTTCCTATCTCATGTGGATCTGAGCTGGGCCCCGTCAGCCCTGACCAGACAGCAAGAAGGTCCTTTCCCTTTCCTGAGGAGACAGCGAGGTAAGAGCCCGTGGAGACACCCCTCCTGGGGACACTCATCTTGTCTTAGCTTCTCCTCGGGCCAATCTTCCCGATAATGCTGCCTTTCAACTATCCAATCTTCCTAACCCCATTTCGTCTGCAGTTTCAGAGATAATCTTCCCTTTTGCTTATTTCAGGGCAAATAGAAATACTGGTCTTCTAGCAATGATTAAATGTGAGGGCTCTGAGTTGGGGAGGGAAGGAGGACTGCAGAGAGACAGACAAGAAGAAGGCCCTTACATTCTCTGCTCTTTTCTCCCCTCATGTCTCCCAGGATCCGATCTTATTTCAGGATGTTTTTTGAAGTGTCGTTTCCCTATACTTTATGTTCTACATGTAAATATTCTGTGACTCATTTTAGGTAAGGAAAGAGAGAGTATTCCATTCACACACTTTCCTGGAAGGGCATGATAATAGTAACGGCTCACGTGTATTGAGCATTTACCATGTGCCACGCTCTGTGCTAACGCTTAACATATCATATCTCATTGATTCTTCCCTACAACTCTACGTGGGGTTCACTGTCCTTTTGAACACTCTAAAGATGAGGGGAGACAGGCACTTAGAGATTAAGCAACACAGTAGATGGTAGAAGTGTGACTCAAATTCAGGCATTCTCAGCCACTCCCATATAAGAGAAAGGGATGAGATAGAGAAGGGAAACGAGCAGAGAGAGGTAGAAAGGGCGTGTTAAACTAAGCCAAGTCCATTGGAGTGATTCTTAATGATGTGGGAAATCTGAACTCTGGCCATAAAAACTCAGCAGTTGATTTTATCGGTTTTACAAAATGAAACAACAAACTCTAATACCGTCACCAACGGTTCTGTCAAAACCATTGGATTTTTGCAGACATTTTTAACTGAGGTCTCTCAGGTTCTTAATTTGTTAAAAAGTAAAAATAATGCTTGCTTCCCTCCCAATCACACGATATTGTGGGTAAACAGGCTTTGAAAAAAATTGAAAACTGATATATGTTTGATTTTACAAAAGCTCTCGAGCACATGGGCTTAGTTAGGTTTGTCAAATGAATTACTTGTGGTTTTCAGAACAAATTTAAGAGCAAAGGCCAAGTTTGTAGTCAGAAAATAACAATAAAACTTTCTTACCACAGACAACAATTGTCAACATTCTGTTGCCTGAAGCACAGTATTGATAATGGCAGTGGTGAAAATATATTTGAGCTAATAATTGTGTGGAGTCAGTCTGGTTGACCACTCCAGGCAGAACGATAGCTAAGTTACCATTGACTTTGTATTGAATACACTAGAGGCAGTTCACCTGGGAAATGGACTCTCAGCTCAAGTATCCACAATGAAGGGATGTACTGGGGCAAGTACACTTTACCAATGTTAAGTCTGTTTTATCAAGTCCCTCAGACTTAGCTTTTGTCATCCTAAACTTCCTAACTGCAAAAGACTCTAACTCCATGAAATTTTTCATTTAATAATTTCTGTTACAACATTAAAAGTGATAATGACTAAATCATCATTTAACCATTAAAATAGGATGGATTGGGAAATAATAATATCACAAATAAAAGAAAAGACATGCATATTTCTAGTATAATACAGTTCTAGATACATAGTAATAATACTGACACTAATGATAATTAAACTGTAATGGATAATTACTGTGTGCCACGCTTTGTTTTAAGCACTTGACATTCATTTAGCCTTATTTTTATAGATGTAGATGGTATCATTATCTTTTTACTGCATAAGAGAAAACTGAGGTGCAGAAATATTACATAATAGCCTAGGAATAGATTATTCAATTAAATAAATAACTTCTTAAGAAAAGTGCTGAACCGGGAGATGAGACACGTATTCTAAATATAGCTCTACCCTTCACATATTATATTAATATTTGAGTTATTATACTTTGCTCTGCAAATCAATGAGAAACAAAATAAGACAGATATATGAAAATGCATGATTCTAAATAAACAGTACCCACTCCAAAGTAATGATTTTGAGTAACCTACATATGGATTCTAGTGATGCAGCTATGACCTAATATGTAACTACTCTTTGAATTGTTTTGATAACTGTGGCATGTTCTTTGGAAGCTCCTTGATGGTATCAAATCTTAATCCTTTAGGGAAGCGGTCAGCAAACTTTTTCTATTAAGGGCCAGATAGCAAATATGTTTGGCTTTGCAGGCCATATGGTCTTTGTGGGGACTATTCACCTCTGCCGTGGTGGTACCAAAAGCAGCCAGAGACAACATGTAAATGAGTGGTTACAATTAAATTTAATATACAAAACAGTCCAAGTGCCAGATTTAGCGTGAGTTTCTTCTAGTTTCCTCTTTACAGGAGAATTTATGTTGTTACTATTTTTTGGAAAGAAGCAATCAAATCATTCCCAGACAGCTAAAGACCCAGGTGAAAAAAAGGAAAAAATACAAAGAGAGAAACTGTTATAAAATATTACTATTGATTTCCTGTGTGACTGAACAGTCTTTCAAGGAAATACGATAGAAGATTTCCAAAAGAGATATTGGAATAAGTGCATAGTCTCTCAACATGACCAATTTGAAGAAGAAAATGCTTATTTTTAATATTTAATGGCTTGTACCGTGCATAATCTAAAAGTCAAGAACTTTGATTTCAGAATTTAAAATTTGAGATGCCTTTTCTTTATTGTGTGTGTATACTTTAATTGCAAACTTTTCACAGCTTAACATTTTTACTATTCATCATAGAGAAATGTTTAAAGTACTTAATTGCATTAGTTGCAATTTGCAGAGCATAAATATAAAATAATGAAGTTCAGAAGCGATATTTTAATGTTTCTAGTGAGACTTGCATTTCCCATGATGGGAGAATTAGCTAAAATGCCATTAGTGTTTATGGGAATCTTGTCTTCTGATCTACCAAAAAGGGTATTCCTTCTAGTTTCAGCTGCTAAATTGTAAATACTTCATGATGGGTTAGTCAATGATGATATAATCAGTTCATGAGAGCAAATTTTCTTGCTATGGAGACTACCATCACTGCGGAGAGCAAAATGGTTGTAAATTTTTTCTCAAGGGTATAAATAGTTTTCTGTTGCTCCAGTGATCCAAGAAATGCTCGATTTTATTAGATAGTTCACATACTTCTGTTTTATCCTGACTAGAAAGATTACAGCCAGTCCTGGTGGTCTGGTGGTTAAGATTCAGCGCTCTCACCACCATGGCCCAGGGTTCTTTTCCTGGGCAGGGAACACCACCACCCATCTGTTGGTTGTCACACTGTGGTGGCTGCATGTTGCTATGATGCTGAAAGCTATGTTACTGGTATTTCAAATACCAGCAGGGTCACCTGTCCATCACCTGAAAACCCTATGAATAGCAACTGAGCATTGTCCAATATAGTGCCAGAAGATGAGAGGATGGTGCAAAAAGTCCAGGCAGGATTCTGCTCTGCTGTACACAGGGTCGCTAGGAGTCAGAATCCACTCAAGGGCACTAACAAACAATGAAAGATTACAAGTCCCCATCTTTCTCTTTCCAGGGACAGAAGCAGCTGTGAATCCACCTATTGGAATTCACCTTCAAACTCAGAACCCTGAACTGTATCCTGTTTCATGTTTTGGCACTTTAGGCCCCCCACCTCCATATGAAGAAATTCTGAAATCAAGCCGATTTTAGATCTGGATCATCAATTGAAAATGAAACAGCACATAAAACATTGACCAGCTTAAATTAGTTTTGCTTCTTGAAAACAGGTTATTTTAATCAAACTTTGCTCAAGGACAGAGATAGCACTGTGCATGTGCCAGGTGGGAACCCATAGCCCCTGGATGACCCTGGAACCAAGAACCTTCAGAAATATTACCACTGGAGTCCTTTACAAAGTGAGAAGTCCTTCACTAAGGAAAATCCGGCTTCAAGCAGCCCAAGTAGCTTGATTACCAGCCAATCAGCTTGCATGGGCCCAGCTTCAGTTTAGTATCTCCTAACTCCTTAAATTTCACCCCAACCTTGGATCAGGGAGACAGATTTGAGAGCCTTGCCTCCTGTCTCCTTGTCAGGTGACCTCGCAATAAAGCTCTTTCTTTTCTCAAAAGCCAGTGCCATAGTATCAGCTTTTATGTGCATCGGGTAGCAAGCCCTTGCTCAGTAACAAAAATATAAGAAATATTTTTAATTCCAAAACATCAAATTTAGGAACAATTGTTTCATTTAGTGGAATTCCCAGAGATCAATTAATATTGTCTGAAAAAGGACAAATAGATGAAAGAAGAAGGAACGTTAGGAAAGAATTTTGGTCAGGGAGATGTTTCAGTGGTAAGTTAGTCGACACTTAATGTATCACTGCTGTACAATTTGTGCTATGTAACCAAGTTAGTGTTCCTCCATAGTACTCAAAGAGGCAGCAGTTAGTGCCAGGAGTAGTCTCCATTAAGTTTAGGATTCTATTCCAGCACGCATCACAGCTTTCTCTGACTCAATATCTCCCTTTTAATCTGACTTCTCCCCTAGTATGGAGTCAACAAAAAATTATCATAATTTAACAGTGTCCCAAGCAGAGATTCAGACATGTCCAGACTCAGAGCTAGAAAGAGAATATTTGAGTTAGGGTGAGGGAAGAGAGTAGGAAGAAGCAACACTTGAAGGATGAGGGATGAATGAAGAGGAAGATTACAAATGTCAGTCCAAGGAGGTGTATATCTCAATCTGAGAAGGGCGAAAGTATAGATAAAAGATGAAGGAGACTGGGCCAGCCCAGTGGCTTAGCGGTTAAGTGCACGCGCTCTGCTACTGGCAGCCCGGGTTCAGATCCCGGGCGCGCACCGACACGCTGCTTCTCCGGCCATGCTGAGGCCACGTCCCACATACAGCAACTAGAAGGATGTGCAACTATGACGTACAACTCTCTACTGGGGGGCTTTGGGGAATAAAAGGAGAAGGATTGGCAATTGATGTTAGCTCAGAGCTGGTCTTCCTCAGCAAAAAAAAAGAGGAGGATTAGCACGGATGTTAGCTCAGGGCTGATCTCCCTCACAAAAAAAAAAAAGAAAGAAAAAGAAAAAGATGAAGGAAACTACTTAAGCAACAGAGCATGTGTAACATCACAAGAAAAGGAGAAGGCTTCCATTTTATGTGGGTGAATGCAGCCTCCAGAGCCCACAGCTTTTCTCTGATGCCTCAATACTTAGCATTTCTTGGAGAACCATGATAAGAACCCTTGGCACAGATATCAACTTCTCTTTGAGAACTCTGACTATAGAAGTAGCAGTGAGACACCATCTCAGCGGCCATGAGAAAGGGGGGCAGGAAAAGAAATCCATGGCAGATGCCATATAGTCTTCAGCTGACAAATTTGTTTAACAAAACAATTGACATCTCCACTTGTTTGTCTGATATACCTCTCAGATTTAACATGACCAAACTTATCTCCTAATCTTCTTTTCCCAAACTTGTTTATCCAAATCTTCCCCACCTCAATTGATGCCAACAGCAACCTTCTAGTTGCTCAGAAGGAAGAGTGTGGAGTCATCCTTGAGTCCTCCCTTTGTGTTACTTCTTACATCCATTTTGTCAGGAAGTGGCTTGCCTTTGCTCTACCTTCAAAATAGGTCTAGATTTTAAACAGTTCTTAGTACACCTCTGGTGTGAACCACTCATTGCCAGTTCTTGTCTGGATTACTGCAAGAACATCTAAACTGGTCCATTTGCTCCCAGCTTTGACCTCCTATATTCTATTTCCAACACAATAGGTAGAGTAATCTTCTTAAAACACAAGGAGAATCATATCCCTTAATGAAACTCCATCTCACTCAGAGAAAACACCCAAGTCCTTGACACACGGCCCTGTAGGATCAGTACCCTTCTCAGGTCTCCTTTCTTATGACTCTCACCCCTATTTATTTGCTTCAGGAACAGTGTCCTCAAAGTGACCAGGTGTTATCCTACCCCCATCTGCCCTTTTGGGCCTTAGCACTTGCTGTTCCTTTTACCTGCAACACTGATCCCCCAGATATCAACATTATTTCACCCCTCCACCTCTTTGAACTCTTTGTTCGGAAGTCACCTTCTCAATGAAGCCCACCCTGATTACCCTGCTTTAAATTGCAACCTCTCGGGGGCTGGCCCAGTGGCGTAACAGTTAAGTTCACATGCTCTGCTTCTGCGGCCTCGGGTTCACAGGTTCGGATCCTGGGCGCACGGGTGCACTGCTTGTCAAGCCATGCTGTGGCTGAGTCCCGTATAAAGTGGAGGAACATAGGCATGGATGTTAGCCCAGGGCCAGTCTTCCTCAGCAAAAAGAGGAGGACTGGCACCTGATATTAGCTCAGGGCTGATCTTCCTCACACACACACAAAAAAAACATTGCAACCTCTCCTAACCCTGGCACTTCCCCCTCCTTGTCTCAGATACGCTTTTCCTTTTTCCATAGCGCTTACCACCTTCTACTATACTACATAGCTGAATTCTATTTATAATCTAATACTTGTCTTCCCTTGTTAGAATGTAAATCCATGAGGGGAGGGATCTTTGTGTTATCCACTGATTTATATCCTGAACATCTAAAGCAGTCTGGTACTTAGCATGTATTCAAACAAATTTTGTAAATAATGTTCCTAGTTCTGGAAAGTCCCAAAAATAACTAGATGGGAATTTGATGGGGTGAGGCCTTATGAATGTGAGTGTGTGTAGGAGCCAGGGACAGCTGAGTTAGTACTGTTAAAATAATCTCGGGGCTGGGGGCGGCCTGGTGGCGAAAGTGGTTAAGTGCGCGCGCTCCACTGCAGCCACCCAGGGTTCACAGGTTTGGTTCCCCGGGCGCGCACCGACACACTGCTTGTCAAGCCATGCTGTAGCGGCGTCCCATATCAAGTCGAGGAAGATGGACACAGACGTTAGCCCAGGGCCAATCTTCCTTGGCAAAAAGAGGAAGATTGGCATCGGATGTTAGCTCAGGGCTGATCTTCCTCAAAAAAAAAAAAACAAAACTCATTAGTATCCACTGATAAAAGAGGTCTGAAGAAGCTTGTGTTAATGTACTCAAATAATCCCTGATATATGTTTGTGGGGAGCTTTAGGGTGTACAAACTGCTTCCAGATTTTATTCTCATGAGAATTTGGTAAACTGGTTATTCCTAACTTCAAGTTCTATGTGGTAGCCTGAACATCTCCACTCCCTTCTGAAATCTGCTAAGATTACAATAAATGAGTAAAAGTGTTTTTAATTCACAAGCGCAAAGAGAGTAGCAAGAAGATGACAAAGAAAATTAGCAACAAGATATTTATCCATCTCGTACATGGAAAGATGTACGAGATGGATAAATCATAATTAACCAGGGTTTCAGGTTTCTCCACTTTGCTAAGTGTCTTCAGGGAAGAAATTGAGAATAATCAAGCAAATTCACGCTGTAGCAATGCAGAAATGCCCAAGAATTAGAGGCAGCGGAGGTGAAGAGCATTCTGGAAATGATGATGAACTTGACCTACAGAAAGGTAGCATTGGAGCAACCCAGAGCAGAGCCAGTTCCAATCAGAACAAATAGCTGTAGGAGGGTAAAAGGGATGATTAAGGAAAAATACGTAATGAACATGTGGTGATAGATTAATGACTGGTAAATGAAAAATGAAGAAACTGAAAAAACAAGGCAATTATAAATCTATGAAACACAAAAGTTGATTTAACCCCCCCAAAATAGTTAAGCTATGAATAATGTAAATAACGGATATTGAATTTTAAAGTGGGAGTTTTTGATATGGACAAGTTAGGCAGAGGGGGACAGGGGTCTGAGGGAAGGTGGCAGGTTATAATAGGAAAGCTCAATCTTAGTCTCAGATTGTGGGAATTCAGTGAACAATATCTAAAATTAAAAGAAAAATGAAGAAGTAATGGTAAAGTACATTATTTGAAAATTAGGTCATAAATATCTGAGGCAAAACGCTAGAGGAGTTGAAAATTTTTGCCTCAAGAAATAGGACTTGGAGATAATGCTATGTAGGATTAGGTAGAGCAGAGAAGTGCTGGCTTTTATCATGAACCTATAGTACTATTTGACTTTTAAAACTAAATGCCTGTGTTACTTTAATAAAAAGAAATATAAAGTTAACAGAATAAATGTTTGCCAAAGTTAGAGCTTGCAATTGCAAGAAACAAAGGAAATCATACTACTATAAGGAAAAATAAAATGTTAAACATAAATGTCTTTAGGTGATAGGACTACAGGTAATTTTATTTTTTATTCATGTTTCTGGATTTTCTAATTGTACAATAATCTGCATGCCTTACTTTTATAATTGAAAATCTCGACAAACTTCTGTTTAAAAGAATAAACACAAAAGAAAAAATATATATACACATATCACTGCCTTCATTTAACAGATGAGAAAATGTGGGGTTTCTGGAAGGGTAATTGACTCACCCAAGATGCATAGCTAATTAGTCTGAGAGACAAAACTAGAGACTAGACATTTTGACCTTTCAATTCTTATTCTAGGTATTTTTCCACTATGATATCCTATCTTCAAAAGAGGCTCTAAAAATAAACATCAGATAATGTGGATATAATTATGTTTATCTCAAATAAGTAACTCTAAGGAAAAAGTTTTTGTTCACATCCTGAGCTATGTATGTTAAAATCCATTCCAATTACTAAACAAGCACTGGTTATAATTAACACCTAGAAAAGTATAAACGCATCTGGAAATGAGGCTAATGATTCAGCAGCTGGAGTTTGCTGAAGACATCAGCAAAAGTCGGGATAGAAGCTATCGGAATTTATTTTTGAGTGACTTGCGTTTGTGTGTCAGTGCAAGTCTAACCAAACCACATGCTTAGCGTGTGGTTGG